TTAGTCATTTGGAATTTTTCCAACCACATTTGTCTTAATCATTAACTGTACAACCCGTGTTGTGTTCAGTTTTCAGTGAAAGTAGTCTGCATATTGCACGGTAAATTAAAATTTTTTTTTTGTTTTTTTTTTTTTAAGAAGGAAAAATCTTTAAAACTGAGGGTGAAGGACAGTGGAATTAGCATTTAGCAGAAAATGGCACAGAAAAGGTAACATTTTCAACGATGATATGTCACCGATCTATCTTAATCAAACAAAATCTTTTTGTCTTCGTAATGTGAAATATTAGTTTGTAGCGACTTTTATCATGAATTATAAAATTCTCACAGAAATCACATTTTTTAAAGGTTTAAATAGTCAGCAGAATTTTTTGTTTGTGGCTTTAAAATAAAAAAAATTAAATGTGTGGGTTTTGGTAGATGACTAGGTGGAAGGAGGGTCTTCGATATAGAACGATTATTGATGTTCACATGGCGTGAAGACTGGTTGTAAGAATGTTACCATAGATAATAATTTTCACCGATTTTTTTGCTCTTGCTTAAACTCTAATTACCTAACTATAGACCAAACAATGGAAGAATCGTCTAGACAGTAGCACAATGAAGTTATGTTGCTGAGGAGGAAAGTGGTGTCGGAAAATAACAAAATATGTTACTTATCTGGAATTCACTCAATTAAAAATTTATTAACAGTTTGCCACTAATTTGTTGTCTGCTGAAGGTTAATGTGCTATTGAGACAGTAAGTTACAGTTAACTGAGAAGCTTTTTGCTCATTGCCTTCTGACTTCTCTTCCTCGCTTTACCCTCCTATTTTTGATTTACTGAAACTATTTGACAAAAAAAAAAAATAAATAAAAATGTTTGTTTATTTTACACTGTTTGATTAACGAATACCCAGACTTTAGGAACTTAGAACTAACTGTAGACAAAAGCTCTGTGAATAATTAATCAGTCAGCTGCAGTGCAATCAGCCGATCCTGTTAGGAAGCGCTGGGAGCGATGGTGAGGAGATAGCAGGGGTTGGAGTGAGGAGTTGATGAGCAACCAAAAAGTTTGGTAAAGCGATTTGTTCAGTAGATGAAAGTTAAAATATTTCGTCTGAATCTAAATGGAAAATAGAACTGAAACCAGTTTAGTTATCTTTCACTGGACCACAAGATTATAAATAAAAATGACGTATTTTTGGAATTTACAATTAAACTGACACGAAGGTAAAAACAACAGGAAATAATGTTTTGTAAAAAATTGACTGGAAAGAATTTATTCGTCAGAGAAATGTAAGGTATTTTAGATGTAATTTGGTTGATTTTTAGAAATTGCCAAAGTTTAGACAATTGTTGACATCAACGGTAGCTTAATTTTATGCAGTTTAGAACGCTTTTCACCTATCATTACGTCAACTTCAATCTGTTAAGCGGATCAGTTCCGTTGAGCTTCTAAGAAAAAACAACCTTCTGAATATCAAGAAATTTTGAACCTTTTTCTTTCTAATCTTTATTAATAGCTACTGATGTTTGTTGATATAATATTCAGTGTATTTGGATGACACTATAATTTAGTTCTTAGACTGTCAATGAGGTAATCTTCCTTCTACGGGTGCTTTATTGTTCTTTCTGCTTTTGTTCCTTGTAATAATTTTTTCCAATGCTCAATCAGTTGCTTATAATTTTTCATAAGTATTTTTGTGTTATAGTAATGAAGTTATTATAGTTGACGGTTTTCAATTTTGCTTTTTTTTTTCTGATCTGTGTGTGAAACGAAAATCACCAGTTTTTTTTTGATGCAAAAAGTAGCAATACCAACAATAATGATAAAAAATTTCTTTTTTTTAAATCAAAATTTTTCAAGTTACAGGAACACTGAAACAGTTTGGATTTGGTGTGTGGGCTTACCAGAAAACATCAGTTGTTTGGTTCAATTGATTTATTGTCGTTACTTTGTCAGAATCCTCAACTATTGCAGCTAAAAAAATCATACAGCAAGCAGCAGCACCAGGGAACACGCAAAAAAAAAAAACTGAACCAACAAGTCAACTAAATTTTCTTTTTTTATCTCCAGTTTTCTATTCTTCTTTCTTATTTTTTATTTTTTCAAAAAAGAAAAAACAAAAGCAAAAAAAAAAGAGCAAACACAAATTGTGGGAAAAAAACAACAATGTTTTTTCTGATAATTCTGCTACTGCTGCTGCTGCAATGCTTACAAATCGAATGTATTTTTTGTCCAAAAAATCCTGATGGATTTATCTTAGAATGTGCATTCAAATGCTGCAAAAGCAAAATTGATGATGGTGTAAGTGATAATTTCTTTGCGTACTTTCTCTTTCAAACACCACCTTTTAAAACTTGTTGCCAGATAAGAGTGCTATTTTTGTATTACTGTTAGTTTTTCAGAGAATATTGGTAATAAAAAAGAACGATAGAGAACTGACTGTTATGAAGGAATGGAAAAAATAAAATTGCTTTTTCTTCTCTTACCCGTTAACAAAATTTGAATTTCACCGGATTTTGAACGTAGTATAGTTTTGAAGCAAAGAAGAAAAAAAAAA